ATTGAAATGTTTAATTAAATTATCTCAAAATAAACCTTCATTTCGGTGCAATATTGAAATTTGCTTGAATTCTTCATAGCCTCTGAATAGTGGTTCACCCAATGGGTCACGGTGGTCTAGTATGATTTAAACTTCTGAATTCCACCAGCGGTGTTATTAATGCAGATGACACGGCCCTGTGGGAGAGCTCTGGACTTCGGAGGTGGTGATGAACCGGGTTCAAATCCGTGAGATACCACAAAATATTCCCCTCACTTTAATCTGTGGGTGCTGTATAAGAGTGGCATTCGAACCTTATCGTGGAGGGTAGAGTGCTGCTTTCCCTTTAGTCGGGTATAACCTCAGTGGCTTTGCCATAAATACAAATCATACAGGGGAGTGCCCCCCAGTGGCACAGTGGTATGTCAGCGGACTTACAACGCTAGAATCAGGGTTTCGATACCCGTGGTGGGCAGAGCAAAGATAGCCTATTGTGTAGCTTTGGGCTTAATTACAAACAAACAAACAATACAGGGGAGTATGATGTTAACAGTGAAATCCGAACATCATTTTTGTTCCACTTTTATAAATTCATACAACCTCAAGAATGGTACAGTTAGCGTTATAATGACATTACGTATTAAAACTTTAACTATCTAGTGTTGTTTCCACCAGGTTGGCGGCAGGCCCTCCGCTTGAGATATCAGGATTTACTCTTTTAATATTTTAAAATTCTCCCTGCATTGTGACTCCCGCTGACAAGAAAGTGTTAACTTTTTTTTTGGACCGGGGGGAGGAGAGAGAGATTAATAGTAGTTTGAAACAGGCCGCCATGAAGCTATGCGTTTTTGAAAGCTAAAAAGAATAAACAATTCTTAAAGCCACCCCCCCCCCAAAAAAAAAGAAGGTAGAATCGCCACTGTAACTGACCAAGAAAGAGTACGAAAACAAAACTAAAGAAATTGTATTGTTAAATAACAGAGATGTTAAAACAACAACGTTTAATAACACAATAAACATTTAAAAATGAGACTATCCACTGTCTCAAAATACAATAAAACATTTACTGAATAATTTACTGTATAAAGATAAATACCATGAGGTTGGGAACAGTCCCAATACACTCTATATATTTCGACGTTTTACTTTACTTCGTTACCACCATGAGCGCAATATTTTGTAAGAGTTAAGACCTATATATATACTTCACGAGTGTAAGAGACTGTTTACTGTCTCATGGTTTCTATATTTATTCAGTAAACTACTGGCTGAATGCTTTATTGTGAATTTAAGACTGGAGACCGTCTCATTTTTAAGTATTGTGCAACATTAGACGTTGGTTTTTCTGTTACTTAAAATTTACACAGGTGTCGTCTTAACTTTAAACTATATCATTGTCTTCACGTCTGTGCTGTGAAATGTCCAAAATTTTCCATACACTTTTATTTTAAAGAAATAAAAGTACCAAAGTTGAGGTGTACGATAGCGTAACTTTTTTTCTTTAATACTTTTTTCGGCACCACAATTTTTTAATAAAGCATCGTTAAAAAATACCGTCACTGAAGATATACAAACTAATGGATATTTTTCTAAACAGTTTTAATTTAGAAATTTCACATTTATGCGGCTATAAAATTTTCACACGTATCAATACAACTCGTAACAAACGTAACTTACTTGTGTTAACTTGGCTATTGGTCGTCTTACTGCCTTAAAACGTAACATAAACTATTAATATGCTCCAAACTTACCCACAGTGTCTAGAAATCTTGATCAGACCTTCTATTCATTAAAATAAAATCAAGTTACATAATAATGTTTTCAAAATTGGAAATAATCTTGATAATTATAAATAAATATTTTATACATTTAGGTTTTACTAACTTTATGTATAAAAATATATTTCATCGGTGGCTTAGCGGTAGCTTGAGGGTTTTTAGCGCTAAATTCGGAGTTCGATCCTTCCTTACGGAGGACAGATCACAGGTATCCCAATGTGCAGCTGTGCACTTAAATCAAAATATAAAAATTAGTTACCCTTAATGTCCAACAAGGAGCGTTCGTTTTTTGCTGCTTTTTTACGTTGTAAATATTTGCAGAAAAACACTGAAATAGTTAACAAATTTGTAAAACTTTCATTTATACATTTTATTGAATCTTAGTAACGTTTTGTAACTAGTATAAACAGAATCAAAGATTTATCTAGTCCAATTCACCATAATAACCAATAATCTTTTTGGAATGGATGGCTTACACAAGGCAGGGACTAGCATGTTAGCAAGGGCTATTAACTCAGTTGTAGTGGTAGATTTAGGCTAGGACTAGACAGAGGTGAAGGTTATGATATTATTAAAATAGGAAATATAATTGACAGGAAAACATGTACAACAGGCATAAAACATGAACATATTTTAAAATCTATGAATAATTGTTACTATTGTAATGCTAGGAGTATTAGAAATAAAACTGAGTTCAAAGCAGTTGTGGAAACTGAGGATTTATATATTATGAATATCACATAGACTTGGTTGGATTGGAACAATTTTTATGAGAGAATTTTTTTTTAATACCAGGCTACAGATTATTTACTAGGGATAGAGTATTGAAAAATGGGGGAGCTTTACATGTCAGGATTGTTTGAATTTCGCGCAGAGCTACACGCGCTAGCCGTCCCTAATTTAGCTGTGTAAGACTAGAGGGATTGACCGTCAAATTATAACGCCCCCACGGCTGAAAGGGCGAGCATGTTTGGTGTGACTAGGATTCGAACCCGCGACCCTCAGATTGTGAGTCGAGCGCCCTAACCACCTGGCCATGTGAGGAATGAAGAGCACCGAGGTTGAGTCAATTAGTGTTAGTGGATATAAAGTGAAGTTTTGTAATTGGGATTTGTTATAGATCACCAGGTCAAAATGTTGAAGTTAATGAGAAATTGTATAATGAGATCAGAATGGTAACTAAAAAAGATTTTGTTATTATGGGATATTTTAATTTCAAGGGTATTGGTCGGGAAAATTTCGAGTCTGACAGTGAGGGGGATAGGTTTTGGAAATTGTTCAGAATACTTTTATACACCAACTGGTGATCGAACCTACAGAAGAAGAATTTCTCGAAATACCATGAATTATTGAGGAAGACCGAGTTTGTTCGGGACGCCCTCTTTTTTTAGTATATAAGCCTGGCAGATAAAGCCTGCGGAATTGATTGTTTGTTTGTTTTGAATTTCGCGCAAAGCTACGCGAGGGCTATCTGCGCTAGCCGTCCCTAATTTAGCAGTGTAA